ACGCGCGCTGAGAAAATGCGTAACTCTATTTAAAAAGAAATCACGGGTATCTCATATATAAGAACCTCATGTATAGTAAAAAATTTAAAACCGTTTTAAGAAATGTAAAGTTGTTACAACTATAATCAATATTTGCTAAAGAAAATGTAATCAAGAGAATCCATTTGTCGAAAAATTTGTCAAATATGCGTGTCAGCAAACATAATATCAAACATCTGTTCGTACTATACAGGGTGAGGTAAAAGTCTGGAAACCCCCGAATAACTTCTGACGAGGGCATTTTACGAAAAAATTTTAAATACAAAAGTTTTAGGAAATTTCTCAGGCTTTTCAGTGGTGACCTTGAATTTGACCTTTGATCGTGACCTTGAAGGTCATATGAAGGTCAAGTTCATTTTTTTAAATAGGAACCCCCATTTCTCATCGTGGATTCAGAAAGAGCGGAAAATTCTACATCGGAATATGACCTTGACCATGACCTTATCGATGTCATATCGAGGTAACGGCTTTTTCAAAAAACGAGAACGTCTATTTTTATCGTACATTTGGAGAGTTTTACGGTTTGGTTTGGTTTGACGTTCTCGTTTTTTCTATACAATACAATCTATTATACGAAATATTGATTTATTGTTGCATCAGTTACATGTATAATAATTAACTATTCAGAAGTTATTCTTTTAGGGATGCACAAAAGAATTTTGTCCCAGTTTGGCTCTGGATACATGGACATTACACAAAATTGTCAAGGAATAACAAAGCAAAATGCATGGCAAATACATTATATCTATGTACAAATTATCTACATTATATAAGCACTTGGTAGAATTACATCCAGAAAAATTAACAGAAGAAGAGAAGAATGAAACAAAATTCTATTGGGTTTGGGACTATTATATCGCAAGAAGCAATACAGAAGCAATATGTAAACAATGTGAAGTAACAATTAGATACAAGGAAGCAATTGATTTAGAAAATAATACTTAAAAGAATAATAAAAAGAATAATAAAAGATATAAAAAGAAATCACTGGTAAGTATCTCATATATAAGATCCTCACGTATAGTAAAAAATTTAAAACCGTTTTAAAAAATGTAAAGTTGTTACAACTATAATCAATATTTGCTAAAGAAAATGTAATCCAATCAAGAGAATCCATTTGTCGAAAAATTTGTCAAATATGCGTGTCAGCAAACAATATAAAACATATCTGTTCGTACTGTATATACATAAATATTTTGTAATTTTATTTTGAACAAAGTGCAACCCAGAAATCGAATTTACATTCACCATGTATAGAAAGATCCAGTAAAATTTGATCACTCTAATTTTTACCGAGGTCAGAATTATAAGATATTTGAATCTACTTGATTGCTACAATCATGATCGCTTTTAAACTTTTCAGTAATAAGAGTCTAAAAAATGATAATTTTCAAAATTTCCACATAATAGAATATTGTGCATAATTGGAAATAATATGTTTACAGCATTTTTATTATCGCTTTTTTTTTAACTTATACATATAAATGTAGGATAGCAAGTCCAACTTCAGATAACGTAATAGATAACGAAAGCAGTTCAGATGATGACATAGATACAAACAAGCATGTGACTGTAAGAAATGCAAAACGTCAAGGAGCTTCATCTAACCTGACAAACTTATCTGACAGTTCGAACGAATGTGCAGGAGGAACAGAAGGAATTAACAAGTAATTATAATTCTTTCAATTAACTAAAACTTATATAAATAGTAATTAAGATTGAAAGACCGCTAATGTTAAACATAATAATTTTAAATTAAGAAGCGCCATAACGGTCAGAACGTTAAGATGTTGAACTATTGTAAATTCATTTAAATGAATTAATTTCAGAAATGATAATTGCGTGCCGATATGGTTGTCGGACTTTCAACGCAATCAAATCTGAAAATAATCCCCCAAATTCCCCAACTTAAATAAATAGATTTTATGAATTAAACATGGAATTTTCTATACAATATAATCTATTTATTATATGAAACATTGATTTATTGTTGCATCAGTTATGTTACGTCCAACTCCTAATGTATG